GTCCAGAATTGCCTTCTTTTGAAAGACAGAGGAGGGCCTCCTCATAAGCCCTTTATATTTACTAGTTTTCCTATCAGTTCACCATTTACACAGAAAAGATGCTGTATGCTATCTCAGCTGACTTCTAATTTGGACATGGCATCAATGCTACACACACGATTGAATGAACGACCACATCTTCTTGGTTCTTCCATGGGACAGCCTCAGTAGGCTTCTTTGGACTGAATAGGTGTGATCTTGTTGGAGAACAGTGTGTAAACATAAGGCCAGATTTTGTTTGTCTCCGTCCCAGAAAATTGGTGGAGCACTCCTCGACTCCTGAAAGACAAAGTCCAACAGACACAAAGGCATTTTTGGTTTCCTTTTAACACAGCATTAGCACAGATAAAGTCTGGGATACAAAAAAAAAAAAAGCATGATTTTGTGGTCTTTGACACACGTCACACTGCCAAAACTTCCCAGCTTCAAATTTGGGAGGCCTCTCTTGGGCACAGCTAAACAAGGCCACTGGCTTTTGCAATTCTGGCCTGCATGCATGATGCCACCTTGTGTTTTGCCCTTAAAAAAAGGATAATGTGACAGGCACAATCCCAAATTTGCCTCAAATAGACTTTTCAAAAGCAGATCACTGACAATCTTTGATATTCTAAAATCCGTGATACTTATAAAAATCAGACGTGGACCACAGTATGAATCTTAAAATGATTAGAATATCAAATCTAAAGGTTTGCTAAATGGGGAACTGGGGGGTCTACAAGGTGAGAAATTGATTATAGCAGAAGCTGTAAACTGCTATCTCCCCAATGGCCAGCATATCTGTTTGTCTTTCATGTCGCTTAAAATTTTTTAAATTTGTTGAAAGATTAAAGCTGAGATGTTTTTCTTCCACACAGAGTCATATTTCTCTTTCTCCTCAAAAATGCCACACTGTGCCTGTGTGTCCCCGTGGTGATGATGATCATCCTAGGTGCTGTACAGTTCAACTACATGGTTTAGCACATCTCCCTAGTGCTCAGGGTAGAACTGAGGCCCTCACCCACACAAGGCAAGCAATCTATCAGTGAGCTACATCCTCATCCTTAAGACTCATACATAAAAGCTGTCTGGCCCTGGTAGCCATTTGAATTTGCAATCCCAAATTCGTGGTTTTGACTTTTCCTTGTTAAATACCTTACAAACACATCTATGCTTAATCTACTGTCCAGATCACATACTTATGTGGAGGGATTCTTACTTTATAAACAGTTCCAAGATTTAAAAAAAAAAAAGTCCTAGACTCCTGGACTCCCAGGTACAATTCCAGCATTTCATCCACTTTCAAGGGAGACAAAGGACCTTTATCCAGCTCAGGAAACATTTCCCTGCCTCAGGCCAATGTCCTTCCCAGTAGTCTCCAAATACTTTTTAGTTGATCCTTTGCCATGAAAATAAAGCACACTCACTTGTATAGTTCGATGACTGGTTTGGCTGCATCTTTATACCGTCTTAGCTTGGCAGCAACCGCTTCAGGCTTATCATCCTCCTGCTGAACGAGTGGCTCACCAGTGATGTCATCAATTCCCTGAAACCACCAGAGAACATGAACCATTGGACCAATCCACAGGTCAGAACTTTGCTGTGCAAACCCATGTACTCACCTATGACTCTACAAGACAATAAGTACAGCTGGGAGACAGTGGGCACTGTGAAGGGAGTTGGGTAAGAGCTAGTGGTTGCACAGTGTGTTGACATTATTTTCTGAGAGTTGGCATTGAAACTTTTTTAATTGTCATATCCTTCCAAATATGGCCCACTATTGTTGATAAATGAGACTTCCAATTCAATTTAAATTCCAAGCAACCTCCCCAACAAAAAAACCTTTGGACAATGTCACTCTGGCCTTTTAAATATTTAAATATTCCTAAAACTGCCTCATTTTCTAAAGCCTGAGTGGTTTTTTTTTTTTTTTTAAGTTGTCAATGGACCTTTATTTTATTTATTTTTATGTGGTGCTGAGAATTGAACCCAGTGCCTCACACATGCTAAGTAAGTAAGTGCTCTACCACTAAGCTGCATCCCCGGTCCCTAAAGCTTGAGTTCTTAATCTGGAAAATAAAACGTTTTAAATAACCAATTTGATTATTTAGGAAAAATTCTAATCTCTAGGATGACATCTCTGCCAGCTTTCAAATTACTATGGAGCCTCTCTGAAATTTATCTCAGGTTATTTTACAAGATCAAATAATGACATATCTAAAAATATATTAAAATAATCATAACCCAAATCAGGGACAACATTCTTAGAACTGAAAAATTGTAATTTAAACAAACACTGATTTTTCGTATCTTTTAATCTCCCTAGGAGGCACACATATTTACACGGAACAAAATGGACACACTGGAATGTTGCCTCTCATATCCGTAGCTACCATTCATCAGGGGAAAGTCACAGGAAATAAATCTGTCAAAGGCAGCTGGAGCAGAACCAAAAGGCTCAGGCAACTGAAATGAATAATCAGAAACTGGCCATAAATTTGAAACACACTACAATTCCATTACAGCTCAGGGTCTCGGGGACATGACATACATGTGTGATTTATTGGTGAACCACATAATCATCACACRTGTATTCCATGGTAGTTAACTGACATGACAGGAGAGCTAGGGATGGGACCAGTCTGTGCATCACCTAGATTTCTCTCTTCTAGGGCAACAGCATCCCTCCTTCCTGGGAAGAGGGTTGGTAGAGTTGGCTAGGTTAGCACTTTGTTATTTTTGGGAATACCACTATAATAGTCTGGGAAAGTAACTCAGTAATAAAGCTTCTCATTTTTTATAGAATCTGCACTAATAGATCTGGACAAAGTTAAGATGTCAGGTGTTGTGGTGGGCTTCAGGGGACTTCCTATCTATGTCAGAACTCCTTTTTTTTCTTCCCACTGTTTATTTTCCTAATTGTAGCTTGTTAGAGTTAAAACAAAAAAAGGATCTAGCCTGGCAAGGCAGCACATGCCTGCAGTCCAGGTTACTTGGGAGACTGGGAATAGCCTKGGCTACATAACTAGACAGTGTCTCTAAAATGAATGAATGAGTGAATAAATAAAAAGGGGCTCTAAGGAAGGTATTACAGAACTATTTACACTTTTTGAAGAAAACTTCAAAAGGAGTTTATTGCTTAACCTAAACGAACAGATTTCAGTTGGGATATTACAGACACATTACCAGCCAGAAGTGGGGGCGGCATCATTAACCCTGGAAGTGATTTTCTGTAGTAATTACTATTTCCATTTATATTCAAGTCAAGGCTTTTCCACAAAAATTAACCCAGTGAGACATAATGCTGCTTTTTCCACCTTTGGAGAATACTTTGGATAATGACAAGAAATACTACCTAGCAACCAAGAACAGGAGTTAAGTGTTTAGACTGGATTAATGCATGAGTTCAATCTGTATCAAGAAGTCAGTTTTTAACATAAAGATAAATTAGAAATGGTTTATATCAGGGGCTGGGGGTGTAGCTCAGTGGTAATCCTTTGTCTAGCATGCATATGGCCATTGGTTCAATTCCCAGTACAGGGCAGGAAAAAAAAGAAAGAAACCCTTATACCAGGTATGGTGGTACACACCTGTGATCCCATAGACTCAGGGGCCTGCAAAAGGAGGATTGCAATCTCCAAGTAAAAAATTAAAAAGGACTAAGTGGGGATGTAGCTCAGTGGTAAAGTGTCCTTGGGTTCAACTCTCAGTGCAAAAAAGGGGTAGGGGGGAGGAATTACTCTAAACAAATGTGTTACAGTATCATTACATCTGCCTACTTTTATACCACATAATTATTATACTGAATTTTTATGGGCAATCTTTCCATTCCTTAAAGGCTTCTCCCCTACCCTCACACACATCAGCTGTGACCCCACTCCCTTAGCCTATCCACCCAAGCCTCTTTGCCAATGTAGGATATTTCCTTCATAACTTACTCCCTGGCCTTACAAACACAGACAGCATWTCTACACACACAGATACACATAAAGATGTGGACACTGCTTTGCAAAAAGGAGACCATTCTGTGTGATTTTCTTGTTCAATGATACTTTCAGGAAATTTCTTCCTATCAAAAAGCATTGTACTACTAAGTACTCTTTTGTCCTTTTTTTGGGGGGGGGCAGTTCTAGGGATCTAATTAATTATTTTTATTGATTATTCTTTATATTCTTAGATGTTTTCCAACTTATTGGACCAGTTCCCTATAGATGAACATTCTTTGWTTTTTTGGTCATTACAAATATTGAAATAAATTTCACTGTATATGATTTTACCTGTTTTAAAGACTTTTAAAAAGAGTCTATTAATATTTTATCAAACGGGAAAAAAGAGTGTTGTTTTTCCCTGATCCCCATCAGCATAGATGCTATATTTTTAAAAATTTGCTGAGTCCAGTGGATCTAAAGTGACATCCACTATTTGTTCCTTAAGTTTCCCTTCTCTGCTACTGAATTTGAGTACCCCCTACCCACCATTCTGTGGTATTAGGAATTTACCCAGGGGTGCTTTACCACTGACGTATATTCTCAGCCCTTGTTGTTTTTTATTTTGAGACATGGCCTCACTAAGCTGCCAAGCCTAGTCTCAAACTTGCAATCCTCCTGCCTCAGCCTCCCAAGTCACTGGGATTACAGGCAGGTACCACTATATCAGACTCATGTAGTGTTTTTTTTAACAGTCTATTCATGTCCTCTATTCACTTTTTTAACTGGAAAATTTTGCCCTTTTCTTGCCAGATTGTAAAAGCACTTTGTATATTCTTTCTTGCCAGATTGTAAAAGCACTTTGTATATTCTTACATGCACATGAGGTGGGTTGAAGTCCAAATTATAGACTCTTCCACTAGGACGGTGAATCCAACGTCGACTGAGACGATCTTTAAGTGTTTCAAATGGAATGTTCAAACTGATCACTAGATCCAGGTCACAGATTTTGTCAAGGGCTTCAGCCTGTACTATTGTCCTTGGAAAACCTAAATGTTGAAAATAAAACAAATGCAAGACATGACCCAGTTGGTCCTTGAAACATTTTCAATGACATAACAATCAAATCTACAAATAATCCAAAAAGGAGCTTCAACCAAGAATTTATATCTTTAAAACAACAACAACAACAAAAAAGAGGGCTGGGGATGGTAGTACCTCATTCACAAGGCCCTGGGTTCAATCCCCAACACAACCAAAAAAAAAATTATATCAACCCCCATAAGTTTAATATTAGAAGAATACCCACCAGTTAATAACCTCATGGCTATATAAGGAGTCACATGACTGACAAAAGTAGAAAGTGCACTAAACTAGAAATCATTAACAGTGATTTTACTTGATACTTTCAGGAAATTTGGTCTAGTTTGGTCAAGTCCCAGCATTGCTCTTAACTACCAGTGTGACCTCAGGCAAGTTATAGCACTCCATTTTCTCTTTGTTGAAGAAGAGAAAGGACAAGTAGTTATGTTGTGTCCTATCAGCTCTAACAGCCTACTTGTACATTATTCTTAAGTTAATCACAAATAATTATATACTTATATTTTAAGGCATCAATCAGTGAAAGTAGGATCCTTACTAACCTTCACCTGCATCTGCACTTTAACCAAGGTAAACACTTTAATGTAAAGCATGGTGATGTAGTCAACACTTCCCTATTGTGTACCTGAAATATTCTGAATCCTTTTATTTTTTTATTCATTTATTCTTTTTTGGGGGGGAGGGGTACTGGTGATTGAACTCAGGGGCACTCGACCACTGAGTCACACCGCCAGCCCAATTTTGTATTTTATCAGAGACAGGGTCTCAGAGTWGTTTAGCACCTCACTTTACTGAGGCTGGTTTTGAACTCGAGATTCTCCTGCCTCAGCCTCYGAGTCGCTGGATTACAGGTGTGCCACAGGCCTGGCTTATTTATTTACTCTTAAGAAATGAAACTCTCACTGTGCTAGCCAGGCTGGCCTCAGATTCTGGGACTCAAGTGATTCTTCTGCCATAGCCTCACGAGTATCTGTGACAACAGACATGCCACTGCACCCAGCTTGAGAGTGAGAGTCATTTTAAATGTTCTTACCAAGCATGAAAATCATACCTACTCCAGGTTAATTATTAAGCTTCACAATGTATAAGTGTAGGAAAACAATCCATCGTACACCTTGGCTATTAGTTACATTTTATTAGTTATGTATTCCTCGATAGAGCTGGGAAATGTTTTAAAATAATAATACAAAATTTAAGGTGTTATTCTGAAAAAAAAAATAGTATTTTAAACCATTTGGAACTGAGAATGGAAATCAGTGGTAGAGCACTTGCCTAGCATGTGAGAGGCGCTGGGTTCAATCCCAGGTACACAAAAAAGAAAAGCTATTCTTCCTAACTTTGTAAATGTTGGTAAATAAGCAATAAAACTAAAATCTGGGCTCACAGTCATGACTTCTTCAAATTCTGGGTGAGTTGTGTCACATGATCCCAAATTACATTGTTGCTGCTGCCTCCTTAGGATTGAGCTGTTTCAAATGTAACTACAGATTTGCCTGGGGTAGGACTGCTCATTAGTTATCTTTTTTTAATGATGTTTTTTACTTTTTGAAGTGCCTTTATTTTATTTGTTAATTTTTATGTGGTGCTGAGGATCAAACCCAGTGCCTCACGCATACTAGGCAAGTGCTTTGCCCCAGTTCTGTAGTTATCTTTATTACAGTTTGTCTGCTCTAGCAAAAACCTTTCTGTATCTAATGTCACTTCTTAAAAGTCTTTATATCCTAGTTAGGTAAAAGAACCAGATAGATAGAGAGCTGGAAGGAAATATAGTAAGAGGTCCGACATCTAGCCAGGCTCAGTGGTGCATATCTGTAATCCCAGCAATTTAGAGGCTGAGGCAGAAGCATTGCAAGTTCAAAGAAAGAAAAAAAAAATCAACATCCAAAGAGGAAATTACTTTTAATTTTATATAGAATTATTATATATTTGCATTTTTAAAAATTTGTTCTAATTAGTTATACATGACAGCAGAATGCATTTTAATTCATTGCACACAAATGGAGCACAATTTTTCATTTCTCTGGTTGTACATAATGTAGAGTTGCTCTGTTTGTGCAATCCTATGTGTGCCTAGGGTAATGATGTCCATTTCATTCCACCATCTTTCCTGTTCCCCACCCCTGCCTAGGGCCAATTCTCTCCATTGTAACCAAAAGCTCATTCTCTGTCCCCAATGCCAATCAATGCCAATTTAATAATAAGGTCATGGTTTTGAGGGGGAAAAAAAGGTTTGCTAGCAAAGGAGAAACACAAGGACTCCTGTCCCAAAGATTGTGACTCTCAATCAGGAAGGACAAGGGATTTACATTTCAGGTATGCTCTGGTAGGGGGTCCTGGGGTGCCCAGATGGTATTAGAATTCCCTTGTTAATTTGGGAGAACTCATTTCCCAGATCCTCAGCAGGCATCTCCTTCCTGTAATGGGTGTGTTCAGGGCAATTAATTAGGGGAAAAAAAGATATCACCATCTCCCTAATCTTGTTAGGGAGGGGGACAGGGGAGAAGAAAGAGAAAAAAAAACTTTAAAAAAAATAAGCCTTAGTGGCTGGGGTTGTGGCTCAGTGGTAAAGCGCTCGCTCGCATGCTACCTAACATGTGAGGCACTGGATTTGATAATCAGCACCACATTAAAAAAATAAACAAAATAAAGGTATGTGTCCATCTACAACTTWAAAAAAAAGCCTTAGAGCAATGAGGGCTACATTCAGAAGGTGAAGGGACCACTGTTATACCATGCCATTCCTCCATTATGGATCAGCATCCATATATCAAAGAGAACAATTGGCCTTTGGTTTGGAGAGGATTGGTTTACTTTGCTTAGCAGGATTCTCTCAAATTCCATCAATTTACCTACAAATGCCATAATTTTATTCTCTTTTTATATTGAGTAATGCTAAATCATTTCAAATGAGGATACCATTTCCATGGATCTTTCCATCATTGGAAAGTTATCAAGATGACAATTAAACCAGGCATGGTGGTGCACTCCTGTAATCCCAGTGGTTTGAGAGGCCGAGACAGGAGAATGGGCTTGGGAGGCCGAGACAGGAGAACTGCAAGTTCAAAGCCAGTCTCAGCAACAGAGAGGTGCTAAGCAACTCAGTGAGACCCTGTCTCTAAATAAAAACTTGGGAGCTGAGCAGGACAGCAACTCTCACCACACAAGAATAGGACAGGGGGTGTGACTCAGTGGCTTGAACCCTGAGTTCAATCCCTGGTAGCCACCCCCTCCCCCCAAAAAGATGACCAACCCCTCCCCAAAAAAAAGATGACAACTTAAAATGTGGTGTGAATCCAAGCTGATTTCAGAGTGTTTGTTTATAGGGCTGCATGTGACAGACGCCACACAAAGGCTGTCCCATGCCCGTTTTGGGCATCTGCCACTGCTGCAAACTCTTTCCACTGCCCCTCAGAGCCTTCCTCACTGCCTATGAGCCATCCACACCAGGTCATGCTTTCAATGATGGCCAGGTCTTCTCTTTCTCCAGATAACCCACTTACCGCTAAAACATCAAGACAACAACTGGAGCTTGAAAGATGTCCGTCAAAAACAAACAAGATCGTCTCTACACCCTTCCCAAACCCCAGCCCAATCAAGGAAACACATTTCCTAAATTAAAGGTATCCAGAATTACTTCACGTATTGCAAATTCTATTGTAATATTTTATTCATTCATTCTATTTTGAGGGGTATATTTGATAGGAAATATAACACATTTGGTGATACTGAATGTGTACATAATTTATACCTAGATAATCAGTCATGTATTAATCATATAAGACAAACTCAACTTTTTGCTGTTAAGTATATACAAAGAATTTTAAAGACGACCCTTCTCAACCTTAGTCCCAGCTCTATGTTCTGCTCAAACCAGCTACTACTCTGACTAGAAAACAGTGTTTTTTATCCTTTAGAAAGTCCGAGAGCTGAAAATGAGGCACCAGGAAAGAACAGGGGAACTAAAAATACAGCATGAATCCCTTCGACAAATAAAAACTCTTGTGTGATGAGTCGCTGTCCTGCTCAGCTCCCAACTGTCTCTGACCTCTGGGGCCCTCTGGAGGAGGAAAACACAATGAGGTACAAAATAAGTAGAACTCAACTGACCTAGAATTCAAAAACATGTTGAGTAGTGCCTACCTATTGAGCAATGACATTCAGATCTGCTACTGGATAATGGGAAATACAAAAACCTGGGAGTAGATAAAACAAGACATATCAGATCTTCAAGGGTTCTATCTGATGGGATATCAAAATCACCAAGAAGATTTAAAGGAAAAAAATTATTGTGAATGTTCAAATTCTGTCCCAGGCCTTCCTAGAGTGGAACATCTCAAACTGAGATAAAAACTTAGGTATTTTTAAAAAAAATTTGTTTAGGCAATTTTAATAGCTACCCTGGACTGATTTAAGAACCACCAAATTTCTCAGCAAGAGTATGATGTTAGTGATTGTTATCAAGCTCTTTTCTGGTAGGTTTGACTCTATTTCTAAGCAGGTACAAATAAGAACAGATGGTGGGAAGATGGGAACTGGAAAGGAAGGTCCCAAACAGAGGGGAAGTCTCCAGATTTGCTAATGCTCAGCTAGCTTAGTTCTGTTCAGGCCATTCCTGTCAGAAGAAACACAAGTACTTGTGAATGCATTACCTCAAAAGAAAGCAGCATGGCAGGGGAGGGGCCTTGGTAGTGAGAACAGTGGACCAGAAGTCAAAGATTAGCGTGCCTGTGACTGTTTCCTAGTCCTAACAGAGAATTCAGCAAGTTTCATCCTCTCTCTGATCCTTTGTGTCCTCAGACGTAAAACAAGGGTGTTTCAGTTTGCTAGAGCTACCACAATAAAGTACGCCACAGAAAGGAAGGCTTGGATAGCAGAAATTTTGGTCTGCTACAATCTGGAAGCTAGAAGTCTGAGCACAAAGTGTGGGCAGAGTTAGTTTCTTCTGAGT